AGCCCTTGTGCAAGCCCGCAGGAGTGCAGAAGAAGGTTGAAGGTTGTCTCGCGTGCTGAAGGCAAATCCGCTACAACCGCTCCTGTGAGCGCCTAGATAGCTCGCTTGGCAACAAGATACAAATAAATGAGGGGGAATCATCAGCGGAGAGGGTTACGACACAATGGTGAAACATTAGTGACAATAAACGTGTACTGTAAGAATGAATTGATGGTCAAGTACTGTAGCTGAACAAGCCCGGTCCTGACCACACACGGGTGGAGCGGGGAAGTCCCAAAGATAGCCCGAGGACTCCACGCGGCTCCGGCGCCTCACGTGCCCGATCGGTCCCTTGGTCGGCACGCTCGGAGATCAACCCGAGGGCCCGACCCCACAACATACACACGCAGCGTGCTCGTCTCGTCGTTCAACAGCAACGACTTTGTTTGGACGCTGCTGCTAGCATATACCGTACCTGCTAAGTGAGCACGATGCCCTGCGGACACGCGCATCACCAGAAGGGCTACGCAGAGCTCAACTTTGCCGCTCGTACGTTCTTGCCGTTGCCGCGCTGGCTGCCCTGCAGCACACATGTGCGCCCGCTGACCGCTTCGAACAGAGCCAAAATGGATCAAGAACATCACCTCGGGCCGGCTGGACCAGTTCGTCGGCGGTTACTTCTCATCCATCAACCTATCTTCTGCGCTGGTCAAGCACCGCACGGACGAATTGAAGCATGTCAAGCTTGAGGTCTGGTCCGCCCCGGGCAGGACCAAGCCCAGCTTTGAGGAAGCCGTCAAGAAAGAATTCAGGGCTGCTAAGAAGGGAGAGTCATTTGGGCCGTCTTGTGAGTCTCATTTCACCGTTTGAGTGCTAGCGATGGATCTGATTTGCGTGGCTTGCAGGGGTAAGCTGATTAGATCGAGGGGCAGCATCACATAGTTCTAAGCGATTCCTAGACAAATCACTGGTTTAGGGTTACACTGAACGTTCCCAAGGCATGGGCGAATGAGGAGCGCATTCAATGTATGTATTCGTGGGCTATTCGGTCTGTGGTAATCCTGACAACGCCTCTTAGTCGAGTTCGATCCTGGCTGCGAGGTGAGCCCCCAAACGGCGCCCTAGTGCACCAGTCGTCTAACCCGGGGAATAGGCCATGATCTGGACAAAAGACGGCCTCCCAGTGCAAGGCATCACCGGCGGAAACGATGGTGACCGGCGGGTGGATTACATCCTGGGCCCCAAGGAGCGCAGCAGCGAGCATCTGTTCTACATTGAGGTGTGCAGAGAGGTGGCTGGAATGTGGATGGATGCTGATGCGGTGTAGTCGAGCTGCAATGGCATGTTTGGAATTAATGGCATCAACCCGCCTGATGTGAGTAACTCTGATTCGAGCTTTTGATCTATTACTGATCCGGTATCAGGACAACCGGTCGTACGGGGTGTGTATGCACTGTGTCCGACTAAGAATCACTTAGCTGATCATAGTACAGCTGGCTTCCGCCGACATCGTCGTCCCGAACACCTCGGCAGTCGCACTCTCGCGTGACTTCCAGACACTCAAGGAGATCCGCACGCACATCACAGCCGAAGTCCACCTCTCGCACCACGCGCAGTGGGTCGCGAACGAGATCATGAACGTGTGGCAGAAGGGCGGCGGAGCGAGCGGCCTGCTCGGCCAGGAGGATCTGCTCAAGCTTATTGAGGAGTGCAGGAAGGTGGGCGAGGAGATCTTTGGCGAGGGCTGGAGGGAGCAGAAGGAGAAGGTGTATGAGGGCAAGGAGGTCCAGGTGTGGGGTATTGGACACTGTCAGTTTTCTCCATACACCATTTGTGAAATATGCTGACGGCAGTGCAGGCCACATCGACACCGCCTGGCTCTGGCCGTATAGTGTGACGCAACAAAAGGTCGCGCGCTCATGGTCGACCCAAGTCGACCTCATGGAGCGCTACCCCGAGTACCGCTTCGTCGCCTCAAGCGCGCAGCAGTACAAGTGGCTGGAGGAGCTCTACCCACCGTTGTTCGAGAAGGTCAAGGCGAAGATCAAGTCTGGTCAGTTTCACACGGTCGGCGGCCAGTGGCTCGAGAGCGACGTCAACATGCCCTCTGGAGAGGCGCTCTGCCGGCAGTTCCTCTATGGTCAGAGGTACTTTGAGAGCAGGTTCGGCATCAGGAGCGTCACGAGCTGGCTGCCGGACTCGTTTGGCTACACTGGGAGCTTGCCACAGATCCTGAGGCTGAGCGGAATGAAGTATTTCTTCACGCAGAAGCTGAGTTGGAACAACATGTGAGTTCTTCCCGTTGTATTGAAGGAACGCAGCTCAGGTTGAAATACAGCAACCGTTTCCCTCACACCACCTTCAACTGGGTCGGCATCGACGGGTCTCAGGTACTGGTCCACATGACTCCAGTGCGTCGCTGGCTAGATTGTACTCCGATTCTAATTGCTCACCAATATACTAGGTCGACACCTACACGGCGCAGGCTACTGTCGAGGACGTGCGCAAAGGTATCACGGGCCACAAGAACCTCGAAGTCACGAACCAGGCCCTGCTCGTCTTTGGTAACGGTGACGGCGGCGGAGGACCGCTCGAGGCGATGGTGGAGAACCTGCGCCGCATCCGCGCGGTGGCCAACAAGTACCGTGAGGTTCCTATTGTCAAAATGGGCCACACGGTCGAGGAGTTCTTCGAGACGATTGAGGAAACTACGAATGGGGGCAGGACTCTGCCTAACTGGTTCGTCCGGAACGCTAGCGTGCTGAATGAATGGCTGACTGCATAGCAGGCATGGCGAGATGTATTTCGAATTCCATCGTGGTACATACACGTCGCATGGTTCGATCAAGAGGGGCAATCGCAAGTCCGAGATCCTGCTGCACGACATCGAGGTGCGTTAGACCTCGCTCATCTGCTTGATTGGCGCTGACGTCGGCTACAGTATGTTGCGACGCTCGCTTCTCTCTTCGGGAGGAATGGCGCATATACCTATCCCAAGGACAAGATTGATCCTCTTTGGGAGGATGTGCTGCTTAACCAATGTGAGCTGACCTAGCCTGTTATGGGCATGCTTGGTTGACCATGCATACGCAGTCCATGATGTCCTCCCCGGCTCCGCAATTGGCATGGTGTACGATGATGCCGAGCGTATCTACGCCAAGGTCGCGAAGAATGGCTCTCAGCTCCTCGACGAGGCGGTACAGGCGCTCTTCAAGAGCTCCGTACCCATCAGTCCCACGGCGCCCTTCACTCATGCTAGCACGGCCAAGGGCAAGATCATAGCCATCAACACCCTAGGGAAGGCGAGAAGGGAGGTTGTCGAGATCAACGTCAGCGGTAAAGGCGCCGATGTCCTCAAGAGCCAGGCTGTCCAGATTTCGAAGAGTGGCGAGAAGGGCTACGTCTTGGTAGACGTCGCGGAAGGCGTCGTGGGAGAGGTCAAGGGGATGTTTGCCGATCTCACACCAGCGAGCGCCCACAAGACACCCGAGGGCGACTACGTCCTTCAGAACGCGAATGTCAAGATGACATTCTCCAAGGGCCGCATCGTCAGCCTGTACGACATTGCACTCAAGCGCGAGCTTATCCCTGAGGGTCTCACTGGCGGCTTGATCTACTTCAACGATCAACCCGGCTACTGGGATGCATGGGATGTCGAAGTGCACCATCTGGAGGCACCTCACCCCGTCGCGTTCGAGGAGTTTGCGATCACTGAGAACGGCCCTATCCGCGCTCAGCTGCAGAGCCGTGTCAAGATCGGCAAGAGCACCGTCGATATCACCATTTCGCTCGACGCAACTCCAGGATCTCTTCATGCCGATGCTCGCTCGTCCTTCCGCTTCGATGCCCGCGTCGACTGGCATCAACGGCACGAGATCCTCAAGTTCGAGATCCCACTCGACATTCACTCTCCGACCGCCAACTTCGAGATGCAATTCGGCTACGTTGGACGTCCCACACACAGGAACACAACCTGGGACATCGCGAAATTCGAAGTGCCCGGCCACAAGTGGGCCGACTTGTCCGAGTTTGGCTACGGTGTCGCCCTCCTTACGGAGAGCAAATATGGCTACTCTGCTGACGGGCAGTTCCTGCGGATCAGCTTCCTCCGTGGCTCGAAGAGCCCCGACGCGGAACAGGACCAGGGAGAGCATGCGTTCTCTTGGGCTGTCTATCCGCACGTGGGCAGCCTCGGGGATGCTGACGTCCCTGGAGTCGCGCGGGAATTCAATTACCCCTTGCATCGTAAGCAGAGCCCGGCCATGAGTGAAAACCAGCTAATGCGTCTCTAGTCCACTACATTCCCGACAGCTCGTCTCTGTCGAGCCTGACCCACCTGACCAGAGAGGTACCTTTCACTGTGGAGGAAGCTCCGGGCGTCATTATCGACACCGTCAAACGCGGAGAGGATGACAAGCTCGACAGCCACCACACTGGTCTCACCACCATCGTGCTTCGTTTGTACGAGGCATATGGAGGCCACGCTACTGCCAAGCTGCGGATGTGAGCATAATTTCCTCAACACATTTTGGATCGTTCTGACTGTTACAGATCGAGCGGTGTACCTGTATCCAAGGCCGTCATCACCAACATCCTGGAAGACGAGCTCACTCCTCTTGAGCTGTCCCACGGGCCCTCAGCCCGCCAGGGCGAGGATACCATCTTGGAAATTCCCTTCCGTGGCTTCCAAATCGTCACGGTCAAGCTCACAATTGACACTGGTCTTCTCCGGAGGGTGTCCAGCGCGTCGGGGTGAGCGTGGTTCGCTTGCGTTCATCCATCCAAGAACCCCGCTCACGAAGCTTTGCAGCAGCCCGACTCGAGAAGGGTGGGTCAAAGTGTCGAGAGGATCTGTATGATGCAGAGTAACGGGTTGAAGTTTAAAAAAGCCAAAATGCACATAGTTATCATGGACTATCTATCAAATATGAGTTCTGGCGCAGAATACTACTTTGTTTGCTCGCTTGTTGGACGAAACGGAACCAATTGCTACCGCGCGTTAAGAGCACAAAATGTAATCGAGGTCGTGCCGGGATTCGAACCCGGGTTGTGGGAAATTTCACAGTCAAAATCCCACGTCTTAACCTCTGGACGACACAACCTCTCAGTCCGCGGGCTCCAAAATATGGAATATATACTTGTCTGCTGACACAGCCACTCGGCAATACGCTGAATCTCTTTGCCGCTTTGTCACGAACTCTCGGTCCGCCTTCTGCCTCGACTCATTGGAAGATAATGCCAGGAAAGATAACTTTCTACGACGTGCTTTCGGCGCTTGATCCACCGCAATGGTCGTCGAACACGCTGCGCACGCGGCTCGCGCTCAACTTCCTCCAACTTCCGTACACCACCGTGTTCATCTCCTACCCGGACATCGAGTCTACTCTCTGCGGACTTGGGCTGGAACCGAGCAATCCTCCACCTTACGATAAACAGCCTGCATATACCCTCCCGGTTATCAAGGACGGGGACAAGTGGGTTAGCGGGAGCTTCGACATCGCCGTCTATCTGGCGAAACAGTACCCGGCAAGCCCGATGCGGAGGGCTCTCTTTCCGCACAACACGATACCCCTTGCACGGCTCATTGCGGGCTACTTGAACGACAAGGTGCTCACACCTGCGAGGAAGCTCGCCTTCCCAAGAGTGCCGACATGGCTCGACGACCGCGGCGCGGCGTACTTCCGCGCCACGAGACAGCAGTGGCTCGGTGTGCCACTGGAAGAATACTACTCTTCCCCTGATGAACAGGCCAAGATTCGCATCGATGTGCTCAAGGGGCTCGACGGAATATCGAAGATGCTCAAGGATCATCCCAACGGACCATTCTTACAGGGAGAAGACTGCGGCTACTCGGACTTGCAGGTCATCGCGGTTATGGCTTGGATTCGGCGAGGCGATCCTGATACATGGAACACAGCTATGGAGAGTCCGGAGATGAAACAACTATGGGAGGCATGTGAGGCGTGGCTGGCGTGATTAGAAACAGCTGTAAAGTAAACATGTAGGAAGAGAATGGCCCATCGTGCAGCAGCAGCATTGTTCAGTGGATCTCCAGACTGGTGACATCGCCCGACTTCTTCGGGGAGGTGAGACCCTGCTGAATACCCATTTTGGGCGTCTTGGGTACCAGCGTGGGCGAGCTCTGGAAGGGAGGCGTTAGATGCGCAATTACTTCATCTTCGCTGTTGATGGTGAGAACGCTCGATGCCGGCGACATGGACGCGTCATCGTCTCCAGTGAGGTCGATAACATCATGAGGGATCAGTGCTGATGAATTGATCAGCTCATTACAGGATAAATTGATGTTCAACGCACCAGAATCAGTCGTACGTGACGCAAGAGTTGCCTTGATGACCTCGTCCACCTCCGGGAGCGTGCTGTCAGACGTAATGGAAACAGACCGGGTGATGATACTCTGAATCGCAGAAGGCATCGGTCGGGCAGTTCCGCTGAACGCTGGCTTCCGGGAGCCGGGAGCCGTCTTGTTCGGGCTCGATTTGGACTTGCCCGGCGAAGTAAGAGGTGGGACGGGAACCCGGAAGCGTGAGGCACCAGGAATGGTGGCTGATTTCCCGGGGAATGCGGGTTTGCTAGCTGATGCGGAGGTAGGATGATGCACGGTACGAGGAGTCGTGGAGTTGTTGGCGCTGGCGGATGCGGCCGCTCGGGGAGTCGCTGATAGAGGTAGGGGTCGGACGGCAGGGGGCTTGGGAGCACTAGGTGTAGCGTGGGAAGAGAGAGTCGGGGTAGCAGCAGTTTTCGGTCCAGTTGTTCCAAGCTCAGACAAAGGCGGCGCACGAACAGGGGAGTTATTGGGATCGTCCAATGCACGAAGAAGGGCCGACGACTGCAGCACGGCGGGATCCAGCAGTCGGCGGCGCACAGGCGAAGAAGGGGAGGCAATCGTGGTGGTGCGAAACGCCTTCGGAGTGCGGGGAGGGGAGCTACGCTCTTCGTCTGAGTCGATCGTGATGGGGTCGATGGAGGACCCGAGAGATGGACGACCGGGGGCGCCGCGAGATGGGAGTGTATGCGCGGCATGGGCCGCCGCCGCTGCAACAGGTGCATTGGCTGTCGCGAATCGGGGCAATGGATCAGTGGGTCGTGAGCTGGTGGTGAAAAGGAGACCATCGGAGGATGCGGCGGGCGTGTTATCAGGTGCATACGTGCGGGATGCGGGTGGGGTGAGCGGCAAATCCCTTGGAGGTATGAGGCTTCCGCGCTCGCGGATAGAAGACATGTCGGCATGCGCGTTGGTAGGAGACAGAAGAAAGCCGTCGTCTTCCCTCGGATATGAAGGTGAAGCAGTCGAAAGCATGTTTGTAGGAGATCTAGGGGTCTTCCAGTCGGGCACAGTGTTCCGTGGAGCATCTGTACGCGAGCTGGCAAGAGCAAGTGGGGTGCGAGAGACCGGCGTGAGGGAGGGAGAGGGATGAACGCGCCCGACCTGCGTCGGTGAGGAGCTAGCAGGCGCAGGTAGCGTGAACCTCTTCACGCCCGTGGGCGTACGGGGACTCTGGTAGGAAGAGACCTCCACGGGCCGTAAGCGATTGAAGATGTTCGCTTGCACGGTGCGCTTCGCCTGTGGCGCCGCGCGCGGGTCGGACAAGCCCGTGCGCGCGTGTTTGGTAGGTGTCGTCGCGCGGGAAGAGAAGAGCTCGCTGACGTCGTCATCGTGGTCCATGGAGACGTCGCCATCCTCATCCGTCTCCATAGGCTCAGAGTCTGCATATATGCGCGCTTATTATGGATAAGTACGGTTGGGTGAGGGATAGGCGCATACCCGAGTCTTCAAGCGGCGTCCATACTGAGCCTATGGGATCGGAGCGGGGGTCGCTAGGCGGGTTAGAGGGCGCACGCATCCATGCTCCATACGTGCTGGACGCCATGCGGATATTGGTCAATGGGTTACGCGAGGTGGACAAGAAGGCAAACAGGAAGAAAAGAGATATCAAGGCGAGAGGAGGAGTATCAAGATGAGCGGTATGGAAAGAGAGATGGAGAAGTAAGAGAGGGAAAGCGAGTCAGGAGGACGACATCCCGTGCAGAAGCGCGAAAAATCCGGAATTTGCCCTTAGGTGGACGTCATGTTCCTGCTGGCACCCGCACCTTCGCAAGCTCAAAGGGGACAAAGGGGCTGTGCAAGCCAATCTGCTTCCGGGACGTCACACCCACCGCACACTTCCCTTGTGCAAAGCGAACCGACAACGACAACGACGATCGTAATGGCGGTCCTCAACCTCCTCCTGGCGGCGTTGCTGCCTACAGCACTGGCGTCGACGACCGGCGCACTGGTATACCTCCACCCACCGCCATCAAGCGAATATTCGCGAGCGGCCCTCTCCCCCTCGCAGGCGCATGCCGTGCTCTCATACCACCTTGGTATCGACCGATGGGTGGAGCTGAAGCACAGCGGGCAGTGGATTGATGAGCTTGTGAGGAGCGGGGAGGACGGGAGCGTCATCAGCGCAGGAGAGGGTGGGGTCGTCGTGTTAGTGGAGAGCGATACTCCAGAAGGTGCGGAAAGTCTCGCTTCGCCTGCGGACCTCCCTGATCAATACATGCACAGATATACTCCCCTATGCCGTCCCAGCATTCACGATCCCCTTCCCTCTCCCATACAGCACCTACTCCACCCTACTGAACACCTACTCCTCCCGCATGGCCTCCCTCATCTCCCCCTCGCCCGCCTTCGTCGACTCGTACAACGCCTCCTCCTATACCTCCTCCCCACTCCTGTCGGCACTCGACATGGCCGACTCACCCGCTGCTCAGCAGGTAGAGCAAGGGCTGCAGAAGATGTTGGCATATGCGGATTGGGTGGACCAGGGGGGAGCGACGGGCGCGGCGGTCGAAGTGAGGGGGCTGGGGGAGCTGAAGGAGACCAATGCCGAAGCGTATGACGAGGGTGTGAGAGTGCTGGAGGCGGCACTGAGTGTGGTAATTGCCTTTCCTTCAATTGTCTGTGTGAGCTTGCTGACGCGTGTGCAGCCCGCCCTCACAAACCACAACTATGCGCTGATTGTGCTCCCAACCTCCGCCTCAACCCAATCCTCCCTCCTCACCCAGTCAACAGCAGCAGCCAACACATCCTCGTGTTACACGACCTCGCAAGCGTGCGATTCTGCAACCTCGGCCTGCTCCGGCCATGGGCACTGTGCAGCAACGATCAAAGCGGGCAAGACGTGCTACGTGTGCTCGTGCTCCAAGGCGCTCGCGCTGGCTGGGCAGACCACCAACTGGGCGGGCGCCAAGTGCGAGAAGATCGACATCAGCGGGAGCTTCACCCTCCTCATAGGAAGCACAGTGTTCATGATCGCTATCGCGGTGGGGAGCGTCATGCTGCTGTATGGCGTGGGCAACCAGGAGCTGCCGAGCACTCTGTTCGGCGCGGCGCCGGGGACGAAGCGCGAGTAGATTGCTCCTTCTGTGAAGGGATTGCGCTGGGTGGGTGCGGGGATACGCAGCTCCCCGGGCGGACTGTTCTAATTTACAACCAACATTGAATATATGGCGTTCCTGCGCGACTCTATCCATCGCTAACCTGCGTATGGGATTCGCTCTTCGCAGCCGAGCGCTTATGATCAGCACAGCCCCTATCGATGACTTCATTCTGCACACGACTCTGAGTGCGCGACCCTGACTCTCTTCTGCTTGTCAGTCCCACCATGCTCCCCCTCGCCCGCCAACGCCTTCGCCGGTAAGCCCAGCATGTCAACCGCCCCACTCCCCGCCTCCGCAGGCCCCTCCCGCCCCATCCGCCCCCCCGTCATCCAACCCCGCCGCGCCGCAGGCGGCACGACCCAAACGATCATCGTGAACCCCTGCCAACGGGGAAACCCAGTGCTGGACGCAATCAAGAACGTGCCCTGGGAGTACGGACAGATCGTGCCCGACTACCAGGTGGGCGCGACGACTGCCGTGCTCTTCCTCAGCTTGAGGTACCATCGGTTGCATCCCGAGTACGTGCATACCAGGATCGGAAAGCTCGAGAACCGGTTTCAGCTCAGGGTGCTGCTGATGATGTGCGATGTGGTGCGTTCCCTGGGTTGACCGTGTTTCTCGCACTTCGGGCTGACGGGAGGGAAGAGCGAGCATGAGG